CTCAGTAATTCAGAGCCATTTTGTAATGTCTAGTTCAAGATATTACAAAGCGAAAATGAAATTAAATGCTTTTGATAGCAGATGGACTGTAGTTTAGCTAAAAACAACATAAAAAAAAAAAGAAGAAATAGGAATTATCTACACTAGACTACCCTGAAACCAAGAGAGCTCCAGAGAACACAGCGGAGGTGTGAGACAGTGCATAGCATACAGATTCATTCTACTCCCCCCCAGTACTGGTAATGCCAGGTCAAATCCTCTCTCTTTCACCAGGATGTTTCTCCTGCCACCCTATTTTTGTTAATGATTAATGAATTTTAAAGCAGCTTCACACAATCAGCAACATGTTTATAACCCCTGATCTGTAACAAAGTATTTTAGCATTCATAGAAAAAAGAATCTGAATATTTCAAAAGTCTTTTCCCTCACTTGCCCAGAATCCTGAGTTCAGAATGTCTCTTGGCAATGTCTAAGGCAAGATTGAGGCTTTGGACACCACTGCTCTGTGGCAAAGAATGCTTATGAAGAAAAAGGAATCACACAATGAATAAGTAAACAGTATAGTAAAGTACTTATATAACTTAATTTCAAGCATCTGATCAGGGTTCTTTGTATATTCAGTGGAGAGATGAATGCTCCTCCAGCAATGGTGATTTAGATGTCAGGGGAAATGACTCCATCCATCGTTTAGTCACTACTGAGGCTAAGCTCTCTAGTATTTTGTCTAAACTCAGGTGAGCTGCAGAAAACAAGTAATACGAAGAAAATAAAGTAATATGCAGACTGAAGAGATATAGGCTCAATTCCTGTTTCTGTAACAAGTCCCCAATGTGATTTGAGTTTGAATGTAGACTTGGCTTCAGTTCTACCTGTTCATTAAAGGAGAATGCTGCTTTTCCTTTCTACACCTTGACAGGTGTTGCAAAAGGATAAGCCACAGCTACTACTGTGATAAGGTTTGTATTGGTACCTAGAAAAAACTGCTTCAGAGAGTGCAGGAGAAGCATAAATGTGTCATCCCTTGCAAAAATCGGATATATTTGCTGATCAGTTTGTAATTACTCTGCCTCCTGTGTTTACTCATCTGTTTCAGGATGGATGCCTTTCTGTGGAAGTTGGCCTTTTTCATTGGATACGAGAGACTTAGTACTGAGGGCTCAAGAGAAATGATGCCTTCAGGCTGTTACTGGAGATGGAATTGTACTAAAGCACATACATGCTGATCAAATCTCTCTATAGGATTGTAGGATGTTTTGTGTAATGTAACTGTGCTACATGTAATAGATATGCACAGGTGACAAAGAGGTAAACCCAGACCAGAAGAGGTTTCTGTCCAAATGAAATATTCTGCCCTTTTACACAAATAGAGAACCGAAGTACAAAGATGCTAAGTGACTTGACCAAATGTGCACAAGAAACCTCTGGGAGACCAAGAAAGTGAACCCGGATCTTCTAAGTTAGTCCTCTTTGAGTGTTGTAACCACAACCTTCTCCTTCCTCCCCATCTTTTTGCTCAGTCTAGTTTCTCTTTTGATTCTTTGCAAATTTAGTCCTCCTCTCTCTTTTACAAGAAATCTTTTTTTTTTTTTTTAAAGTAACTGATGTGTAAAGATGTCTTTTCCACTGACTGTATTCCTGCTCTCAACAAACCATATCTACATCATTACTTACTTCTTAATTACCTTCTGTACTAGAGAAGATGTATCTTATAAGTCTTTGCTCTGCACTTCCCAGCTCTGCCTGCTCTGTTATCAGGTTATAAATGAATGTGATATTCTGAATTTTCCTGGAACAGCTTTCCTTCTCAGAAGAATCTGTGAAACCCATATGTTAGTGCACAGGGAATGGCAATTCCCCACAAAAAGAGCAATTCCTTAGAGGCCAGCTACCCCGTGGAAGACAGGGACATCTTGTTTAACATCTTTAATGCAATGGGGGGTGCATACTCAACTGAAACATAAAGAATACTAGATTCTTTCTTCAGCATCTAGGGACCTGACTGTAACTCTTAGTCACACTGGTGAACACTGAGTCACTCAAGGATGCCCTTCTACTCAGACTAGGTATTACTCACATAGGTGCTCCCCAACATGAGTAAGGACTGGAAATTTGTATCTTAAGTGTTAATGACTAGGAATTAATCTAAGCATGGTCTTACTGTATCTCGGATCTGTTCTGAAAAAACTCATGTCTGAACACAAACAAGCAATTCTTACGTCAAAGTGCTCGTTCTTTTTAACTTCACTTTATTTCAGAGTCCATGGGGGTTAAGTGAAGCACTGAACTCATATACAGGTATAATTAAAATCCTCTTGGGTTATTCCTTAAGAACTGTTGTCATAGGTGAACCATGTGACAGCAGCTAAAGAAACCAAATTTCTTGGCTTGTTTGGGACTTTTTTTTTCCCATTTTCTTTGTTTGGAGTAAGTTCCTCTCTCTGAACTTCTTTGCAGAAGTCCAATAAATAAAAAATATATTTTACAATGCAGAGAAAATGGAGATTAAACATGAACAGCCTGTAGATGTGGGTGAGCTTGAAGGAATATTTTCAAGTTAAAAAAATGAAAAAGAAGAGCTCATTTCAGCAGTGGAGCTACCACATAACTCAGTTCAAAGAGCCATGTCAATGGCTTATGATAGGTCCATATACTACAAACTTTCACACCCATGCCTGTGGATGCACGTGTACTCGACTGCTTAAACTCAAGTGCATGGTCAGCCAACGTGAGCTGGAAAAAGAGAAAATATGAGTATGAGACCATTACAACAGGTAGCCTATCAGCAGCTTTGGTTTTGGTTGACATTCTCCCTAGGGGAAGAGGAAGATGGGATAATCCAGTAAAGAAGAAAGATTCCACTGCAAGAAACCAGCTACATACAAGATCATTTGCATTTAAGGCTTGGCTTTTGTTCAATGTCAGAGGGATTAGCAGTCCCCATACATCCTCACGTGTCTGCTTCAATCCTCTTTCTTCCACTTCTCTCTCCTAAAAATATTCTTAGTAACTGACACTATTTGGCTTCTCTGTTAGCAGAGTCAATAGACAAGCTGACAATTAGATTGAATAGAATTACTTTCTGTTTACACTAGATAAACTAGCCAGTGCTAACAACAGGTGTCCACGGTGCCTGTAGATGGGAAAAAGCTCATGCTAGCGCAAAAACCCCAAGAAGCTCTGCTAAGCCCCTTTGTTTCAAACATGCAGCATAGGCAGAAGCTGGCATGGCCAAATTGGCATTAGCCAAATGTGACCAACCTCAGCAACAGGGTGAGACTGTTCACCTGTGCTGGGCACCTTGATGTTTCGGGTTTACTGCACGAATAAGTAAGAATACTCTTATCAGCTCAGACCTAAATCCACTGAGCCCAGTGTCCCCTTTCCAACAGTGGCCAACAGCACTTACCTAAGGCAGTGTACAAGCATCACAAGACAGCCATCCTTTGTCCAACCTGCAGTGCAGCGACTCTCTGAGCCGGAGGGGATGGCTTTGAATTTTAGTAAAGTGCCATTTACAGGTAGAGGTAAAGCACTACATGGTTTTGAATGCAAATTAAATGATTTGGGGATGCAAGTAGAGAAAATGATAAGTTATTGTGCTAAAAAAAAAAATCGAGCATTATCATATATAATTCCTCTCAGACAGCACCTAGATGCTAGCTTAGATGTGCTGTTTTGTAGAAATGCAGATGGATAGGCTCACCTGAAAGAGAGCACTTACAGGATGGGCAAAGCAAATGGGGTAGAAAAAGAGAGATCTTATCTGTCCACCTGCTTATTTAAAGGCAACTAATGAATTTCAGTCTCCTAAACTGTCCACCTAGGCATTTGTAACACACTGACATCAATAGCACCTGACTGCAATTCAAGGGAGTTCAAATGCTACAGTGCAGGTGTTATAGGCCTGGCATTTTCCTTGCTCAACCCAGCTCGTCCCCTCTCCACCTTAGATCCTAGTACTGCTGGGAGCAGCTTAACGCTCACAAGGGTCAGGTTGGTCCCCTGCAAGTCTACAGGGCTGGGAACTGAACAGGGCTTGGCTCTCCAACCTTGTGCTGCTCACTCTGGGTTAACGCTTGGAGTAAGTAGCATGATTCTTTCCTCCCTAGCACTTTGGTGACGCTTGCATAGCTTATCATGCCAATAAAGCCTCATTTTAACTGAGCTGAAATCACACTAACAAGATGCAAAGGAAAAAGTTAATATTAACTGTAGCAAAGAGACTTCAGAAGGAGAGAGAAAGAGGGAGAAGTTTGCTTTTCAAAATTGTACGTTACACCTAATTGCATGAAATTTTAACTACTACTTCTGGCAGGGATACAGCTGTGATCCTAATGATGAGCATTATGTGGGTAAAAATGAACATGGGATAAGAGAAAATGGGATCTACAGAACATGAGCATGAAAACGTAGAACAGAAAGAATAACTCAGTGCCTTGACAAAACCAGCTGTGGACCAGCCTTACTTGACTTGCGATTCCAGTTATTAGATAGCTTAAATTTGCAACCTGCTCCTCCATGAAGGCATGCCAGGGCTTGTAGCTTTACTAATTAAATATGTTCGGTGAAGGTTTCTGATATGATAATCAACGACAGAACGGCAGCTTTAGCATTTAAGCCATCTTAATGAGGTGTTAGAACCTGACCCTTTGAGGTGAATGGGGAAAGTTTGTACGCAGGGCTATTGTCCCAGCCTGTCTGGCTCTCCTCGCGAAACAACACCGCCTTTTCCCAGTGATTACCTTAACGGCCAGGTGGATAACAAGTTGAATTCCTAGGTTGTTTTTTTGGTTTACACCCTCTTCATTTTCAAATGCTAGGAAACGTAAAGACAATGAGAAAAAAATAGTTTGACATCGGCGGTACCGGGCGAGGGAAAAAGTCTCCTCAAATCATCAATTTATGCACCTCCGATTTTGCTTGTAGGTTATGTGAATCTTCAGTCTATTTAGAAACTGGGGGAGTAAACGGATAGTGTGTTTTTAATAGCTCCTCATTACCGTTGCTTTTGTGCGGAACAAAACGCTTTCTTCTCAAAACGATGGCCTATCAGGCGCTCAGGTGTGATTAATCAGCTCGTATTTGCACAGGGCTTTGAAGACAGAAGAGGCTGTAGAGATGCTACGGGTTATTATTGCCGATGTAAAACTCCACGAATTCCATTTCCTCACTAAGCCAGGCCTGCAAACAACTGTCACCAAACAAACAATTGAAGGCATAAGTACATCACTTCATTCCCCTCAAAGAAATATTAACTTCAAAGCCAAGTTAGGACCATTTAAATGCAAGTAACTCTAAAAGGGCCAGGAGGCTGAGCAGGAAACGATGGTACAGTCACACGCCAAGGGACTGCAGCATACAGGCAGCAGCCAAGAAACTATGCATACGTTGTTTTTCTACCAGAAGCACTGAAAAGAGACTTACCTGCTTGTGCAGCTCCATAGCAGTAAGCACAAGGAAAGTTTCAGAGGAATGAAGGCTCTCTCATTTTACCAGGAGATCATGCCAGCCAACTCCAAAGGGCAAATACCCACCCCTGTTTCAGATAAAGCTTTTCTCACTGTTCTCCAGGTGTTCTCCTGCACCACTTTCATTGTAGCCAAAGGCCAACATCTCCACCTGACGAATTTTAACCGTTTAGCAAATCTAGGCACCCACCTGAAGTCTACAGAAGAAATGAATAACTTAATTTGCAATCTAAGCAGAACCAGTATTTCACTTTCTTATAGTTGTGTATTTGGTTTAATTGTCCTATTAGTGTACTTAGTGTACAAATTGCCACCAATCGAAACACAAAAGGCAACTTTGGATATGGCTTGCCCTCACAGAGAAAGAACTGCTTTGATGTTAGACATACATTTTGTTTAGCCTTAGTCAAAAATATTTATTGGTACCCTTTGCCCAGCGAACAATTAGGTGTCAGGATGTACAAAATATTAAATCTCCCAGACTAATAGTTCCTTTTACAGCTACATTTTTATATATAACGAATTATCTGAGTTAAAGAAAGCAGTTGAGTACCAAAAAAGGACTTATGTGCTACCCTTTGAAAGGAAGAAAAGGAGTTCATACAGATTTTTTCAGACCACTGAAGGCCTCAGTAAGAGATTTCTGCTTGTTTTGTGCAAGCAAAAGAACAGCTGACTCACAGGCTTACCTGCGTACTTTACAAATTGCTCCTGAAGGAAGCTCTACTGAACTCTTTGGTCCTTATCTTGTGTATTACGAAACCAGATCTCCTTACCCAAACTTGGTCTGACTGAAGTCATCAAGACTATTTAACCCTTTGTCAGACACAGATCACTCTGTGATTTATTTTCAACATGAGGAGCCTCTTTCTCTGGCATCTGACCCTAATTCCAGATTTCTCTCTACAGTCTCAGGTTCTGATGAAAATAATCATAACCAGAACTGTGCGATTATTTGAGTGGGTTTAGTACAAATACAATTGTTTTATGCTTGACTTACAGGACAGGTTGGGAGAGATTAGGTTCACTTTCTTTTTGTAAATCAGATATATTTGATATGAAATGGAAGAAAGAAGAGTAACTGATGTAATACAGATAGTGCTTTACAACTGCTAACGACAATTAGATACTTCTTTAAATGAGGTGAGAAGGCATTTCAAAAGCATTTTCCTCCCTAATTTTCCTTCCTGCTAAGGAATGTTTATTTGCCCTGCTGCAGCCACATCCCTGCCAAAGGAACAGAGGCTCCGATGCAAGAATGACAGTCAGTGAACAATTCAAGTCTGTCTTGCCTAAGAACATCCAGTGAGAACTAATAAGACATCCAGGTCTGAGTATCATCTCAAGGAACCTGTACAATGTTTGTTGCAGAAGAAGGGTTCCCCGGAGAAAGTGTGCCAGGAGTGTGGTTCAGCTAAGGATATGTTGCATTCCAACCTTGAGGTTTGACAGGCCCTTGGGAGGACAACCTCCACCTCTTTGCACCTCTACTTCCTGTATCCTCCCGTTATGTGGTTTTACAGAGCTCTAAGACAAAGAAAAACCTATCACAAAGACAACTAGACAGCAATCTAAATAGCCCAGACAATCCTAGAAGCAGAGTGTCCAGAAGCAGAGACTTGAAAAAAAAAAGTAAAGGAAAGACCTTTCCTTCAACTTCACAGATTAATTTCTTTTATTTTGCTAAATTGGAGGAGAGTGGAAGAAAGATAAAGGATGCTCTGCACGTTTGTTTCAATGTGACAAAATATCCTCTCATTTTTCTCCCACTTATTGTGGTTGCTGTAGTGGTTAGCTCATTACACTGACACCAGAAACAATATTTTTCGTCTACTGATTTATAGCTTCCATCTTTTCTTATTTACAGCCCATTGCTTCAAAAAGGTCTAGCTGAGGATGTAGCTGTGGTTCTTCACATCACATGTCTAGCTGGGAAAGTGTGAGACACTAGGTGTGCTCAGCTAACAGGCCCAACACCTAAAATGGCTTTCCTGCTCTACCTGCTCCCATGGACACCTATGGGTTGAGGATATTCAGTCAAGAGGAATGTGCTTTTCTGATGAAAACCTGTATTTTAACACTTTTATGGAAGCCAGAGCAGATGCTGTCAGAAGAGGCATCAGCAGTGAGTAACTTTCAGGCTGACAAAAAGCCCAAAACCGAGGTGCCAACCACCCAGCTACCACTGAAGGGAGCTGCCGAGGGTTGATGGTGAGGTGAAGAGGGGGAACGTGGGAGTTTGTTCAGTTTTGACAAAGGTGGGCTTGAATTACCCTGGAAATCGTGACTCAGATGTTTTCGTGGCCACAGCTTGCATTACTCCCAGGAAACTCTCTGATGCTGAAGTCACAGTTTAGTTACATCAGTGACTCAGAAGTGTGAAGATTCATATTTTAGCACTTGGCAATCCGAGGCAGCATTAAACCATTTAAAAATGAATGCTGATGAAAATGAAGAACTTATGAGTGCTGCTTGACCATGGGTGTGCATTAGAATCATAATTTGAGACGAATGGTTTAATTGTTCTCTGCCACTTATTTTGGTTAATAGTTCAGGAATAAAATAAGCCTACTGTTATAAGAAAGACATTTGTTTAATCCTGTCAGGAGAACCGAAATTCATTTTCACTTTGCCTTATGTGCTAGTGTATAACTGAAAGAGGAATCGTGTCTGTGAACAATCCTGTACACTGGTCTGCTTTTTCTGAGATAATAGGAGGATCCCAGTTTTCCTAACTTTTGCCAAAAATAGCATTTCTTATCTCTTTCAGCAGATTTTTTTGAGGCAGCACCAGCCTTCTATATTTCTACAGCACACAACACAAACAAGTTCTGCCGCAATCACCTTTCAAAATGAAAACAGAAGAATTATTTGTAGTACCAGATTTCTAAATGTTACAATTTTATAATAGCTCTGGTATTGTTGGCTGAACTGAAATTATTTTTAAGTATTAGCTTTGCAAGTCTTGTAATTTAATGGAGATTTTGGTCTCCTTTTGCTCTTTTTAATTAAATAACTTTTCTAGCTTTTGTAAATATAGCTTGAAAAAAATGAATGTTAAAAGCTTTTTTAAAAAATAGAAACCCCAAAAGCACAGGGAAAGACTCCTCCTTGGTATGTAAATATGTTTGTGTTTATGTGTTGAGGGGGAAATGTCTGCCTTTATATATGCAAAATGTTTTGACATTGAACTCGATATCCTTTGTCAATTGTTTTTGAGCCAGTGGCTGAAAACATTGAATACCAATTAAAAAAAAAAATGTTTTCTTCTTCGGTGGCTCATTAGTGGGAACTAAGTTAAAGCAATCATAATTTATGAAGAATTGTCCATTTACCTGGTGCTTTGCAATAGATTAAGCATGATCCATAAGACTCATCTTTTTGCCTTGAGGCATTAAGTTCTAACGCATTTTAGTAACTGAGAGAACGTATCACAAAGTGGCATATGGCCTTTTAGCTGGGATGATCTATGGTGACACACTTGAAACGAGCAAAGAGAGCTTCAGGTTCATCTGTGACTACTGCAGCTTTTCTGAATTGGACATAAGTAGCTGAATGGAATAAACCAGCCTCTAATTTACAGTCATGGTAGTGAGATGAATTCCCAATAAAAACTGTGACGTTAAACAAGAACAGCAGACCCAGTTGTTCCACTGGTGGTTGTGCTGGAGTGAGAGGTGAAAAAAGAAACAGAAATGTCTTTCTTCAAAATGGGGTTTTTCCATTATCCTCTCTTAATGCTGCAGGTCCCAAAAGCAATTGAAATCTCTGTACAAGCAAAACACTGAGTAAGATCGGGTAAAATCGGATTGCAGTTGGGGATGGAGGCCATAGAGTCCTGTACAGTGGTTTCTGGAGCCAGGGGTGCAAGTCCCAGAGTCAAGGCCATTCCAATGGGGTTTGCAATGATAGGCTTTCCCCAATTCTGTGTAGTCTCACATGGCTCTGCTGGCCACACAAAGCTGGTGGAAGATGGTCCCACCCACGTCCAACCCCACTCCTAATGACGTATTGTCATCTTCATGCTGCAGTTCAGCAGCTATCACGCATGCCTTATCTTTATCACTGTGTACAGGGCTGCACTGCAAAGTAGATCAGTAAAATTATCCCAACTAAAAATAAAAGTATTTGGTTTGCTTTTCACCTGGATCCTATGTGAGCGTGGCAGCACAGTAGGGGGATTACAGAAGCACAAAGATGGAAACAGGCTCCAGGAACCAAAAGGAGTTGGAACTTTTAAAGCTGGTCATGACACCACAAACAACATCTTGTGAAGCCACAGCCAGGATCTACATGAAGGTTCTGTATTTGCATCTTTACAAATTTCCATAACATAGGAAAGTCTTTGATGTCAGCTCTGTTATTGGTAATAACGAGTGCTCTGTGCCAAACCTGCATGTGCCACTTCAGAAATGTATGCCTAAGAAGAAAAGTTCTTAATTTGATTATTCAAGCAGGCTTGAGACTGGTTTACAGTCTCTTACATCAAGATCCCAAACATCTCCTGTCAGAAAAGATATCCTCACTTATGCCCCATAGCTACTGCCAACAGGATCAGAAATGCTGCTTTTAATTAAAAATGCTATTTCTAAATACAGTTTGCAGTGTATATTCTTGGTGAGAAGCACTTCTCACCTTGTGAACTTTCAGGCTGCTATACTGCTGATCAAAAGATTGCAGCCTTTCTCTGATGTCTTGTCTACACAGGCTAAGCAAAAGTGTTTTGGTTTCCACTGAAAGGTTTTGCTGGTATAGCTTTGCTGGCTAGGAGTTGAAAACCCATGCTGTCAAAGGGTAAAACTCCTAACCCTTTGCTATTGTAGCTTATTTATTTCAATGTACAGCCACACTCACAAAGGAGCAATGTTTGCAAACATTATCTACACATTATCTATCTTCCATGTTTGAAAAATGACAGTAAAACCTGCACTCTTTACACGATGTGTGGCTATAGGAGAAACCTAGTAGCAGATTCATTCATGGCCTCACAGAAAATTATTTTAATCTTATTTTAAGATTATTTTAATCTTAAAATATATATATATAATATATATATATATAATTATTTTAATTATTTTAATATTATTTTAAGTATGGGTCACCACTCAGGTCCCCAGACCAAACTCATTGTCTCTGTTGTCCATGGAAGATTTACAAAAAGGCTGTTTTGCAAAAGCGTTTTGCTAATATAATCTGAGTTTCCACTGAGGGGTTTATTGTACACTTCCACCAATTAGTATTTTCAATGGTAGACAAGCTCAAGAATCTTGACAAAAGTCATGGCTTGGACCTAACAACTGGCCTGGATTTTTCTTGTCCTGCATCTTGTATAGTCACTTGCACCTGTTACACCTGTGGGTGTGAAACACTACCACATGAGAGCAGTCACGTTTTACACCCTCCTTCACTTACTTTAAATTGTTGTAAATAAATATATTTTTCAAGAAAATAGACCCAACATGCTTTGGACTAAAACATGAAGATTAGGGTACATTGTTGCATGGCCAGGTTCGAAGTATTCTTTCAAGTCAAATCAACAAAAATTTTTCTCCATAGATTTTCCAGGATTCTGCTATTTATACAGTAACCCTGTAGCAGAGAAGCTGCACAAGTAAAAAGCAAAATCTGGTCACTAGTGATTTTTTCCCAGGGACATATCTTAGCTGCAGAATTAACACATGCTCTCTAATTTGATATGTGTCCCTCGCAATACAGCTCCTACCTCATTCCACTTGGAGTAGTTCAGTCCAGCCTCCCTGGCCTGCCTTAGGGTATGAAATCCTGAGTGAAACTCAGTGGAGGGCTCTTATCCCCTTCATTTTGCAGTGGTTGTGAACATGAAACCGTTCAACGTGGCCAGTAGTTCTCCATCTTCCACAGTCCTGTGATGAGATAAGAGGGAAGATAAGTCCTGTCTAAGACTAGGAAAGGATCACAGAGCATTCAAGCTTACCACACTCATAAATATCAAGAGACAAGTCCTCAGAAGCCCTTGCAATGCACACAGTGACTGTGTGTGGCTTTGCACTGTGACTGCTCACCCCCTAAAACAGCTTAAACTCAGATGTTTATCCACATCATCAATGCTGCTGCAGGTCCGTTCCCATACTGATTGGCAGGAAGGCAGAAGAGGCAACGCTGACCGCACCAGGCCTGTCACATCTAGCTGTTCTCACTGGGGCCAGGGTGGAGCTGGTACAGCACGGGAAGGGAATGTTATATATGAGAAACCTTAGAAAGCAAGCAAAACGGAAGCGTAAAAGGAGTCCTCTTATCCATAAGAAACTGAATCATCATAATAGAAGTAGTTTCAGTGTTTGTGACTGTACTGCAACACTTGTCACATTTGCTAGTTTTCTAAAAGGCTGCACTCTCCATTTTCTTCTCAAAGAAGCCAAAAGAAAGGAACAGCTTTCATGTAAAAAACACAAAAATTATCTCTGTGGTTGCAGGGAAAACTGTGACAGCGCAACCCACAGCGGTTCAAAAACCAGAAAGCAAATCACAACCGTGCATCATTGCCTGAAAAAAACATGTAGTTTTATAACAATCTCATGACTCTGGGAGAGTCTTACAGTCTTTTGAGTTCTGGGCACTGGCAATACACTGGTTCCACTACAGCTTTGCTCAACAGTGTGAACTTGCCTGTGGTCCTTACTTCTGAGTGTGTGCGCCACCAGCAACATATAATTCCTGACATTGCCAAGCACCTTTTCCCTTTTCCACTATGCTGCTTTTCTTATCTTTTTTTCAGTCAGCTTGTAACTTAAAGCAAACAATAAGATCCTCATAAGCACTGTAGACCTTTCCCAAGAGCAGGCTATCAGTTTGCATGAAAGCAAAAAAAAGCAGGAGGACTCATCAAATTGTCATCGCATCTGTACAAAGCTTTTTTTTTTAAAAAAAAAAAAAAAAAAGTGTATTTTTTCTTTTTCTTTCCTTTCCTTTTATTTTTCATGGAGGTTTTCCCTGAAGCCTCAGCTCTCATACACTGTTCAGCTGTTGCTGTGTTTCTTATGGAGGCCCTGTGGATTACAGGGGTCCCTTTCTTGCTGAGACTCTCTGACACTGGTAAAAAGAGAGAAAGCTTCCAAATGTTACTGCATGCTGCATTATTTCTCTTTTTCTCATCTCTCATGTGTTTTCAGTTATGTGTGTATGTTGTTTCTTTGATACTCTTCTAAAAGCTTTTAAACTTCTCAAGCTTTCAGTCAAGCACAGAGCCGAACATTGTACAGACCCACATTCTGACAGATCCAAAAGAAAAGGGACAGAGCCATTTGTAGCAATCAGGAACCCACGTGCGTGGGCATGCACACAGACACACAGAGAGCTATGGGAAGCTTTGCAGGAGGAAAGACTGCACGATGGACTCATGCAAGCTGATTTTTCTTTGCAAACATACAATGCCTTTCCTGCAACTTTGGTTTCACAGTTTGTCACTTCTAATATTAGTAAATGACCAGAAGAATACAATACAGCAACCAGTGTTTTTGAGAAGAGAATATTTGGATTTCTATGCATATATCACGAGGAACTAATCTACATGAATCCCAACCCTTTTCTATGGGAGTAGGCACTGCTGTCCATCAAATGAACTGTGGTGTGTGCTTATTGTAGTAACATCGTATTTTTCTGCCAACAGCCTGTCATTTCTTTTTCTTCCTACTTTGCAGACGGCTAGTACAGAAATCTGCAATTCAGAGACTGTCCTAGATTCATCTACTGCTGCACTGTTAAATCACACATTTGATGAAAAAAGACAGTCTAAGTGTTCAGTTCGGTTATGGAGACTCAGACACTAGATCCAGCTGTTCTCATGCAGCACGTTTTGATAGATGATACAAATTTCAGACAAAAAAATACCCCATCTCCCAGTGCTGCAGTGCATTTGACTAGAAACATTTTTTAAAATCATAACTTTTTAATTAAAGAAGTGACCCAAAACTTTAAAATATGAAACTTGCCTTGAGAGATCTGGGAAGTGTCTGCCCCTCTTCTGCAGTCCAAGGATGGACCACATGCCCACATCTTCCTTTGTTGCCAGCAGTAGTTGAAGGTCTTATCCCAGAAGCAGCTTTTATGGAGCAGCTCACACTCATCACAGTCACAGAGAGACTAGGGCTGCACTGTGTGTCTCTCAGAACTATTCTGGAATAAACACTGTGAAAATTAACACCTCTATAACCTTTTCTAGAGCATATTTTCCCAAGTTGCAGACATTTGTTTTACCTTTTCCTTCTATCGCAACCAGCTACTGCTCCTTTCAATCTACAGAAATATAATAGGTGCAGGGAAAATAAAGTGTCTGTGCAGATCTTGTCATTACCTCTCTCATTTCACTGGGACAACAGACAGCACAAAAAAATAAATAAATAAAAATCCAAATTAGAGCCTTAGTTAACCATATACATGTTTGATTGGGAATGATTCAGGGAGGGTGTTTCATTAGCAGCTTAGAAATGGCAACACATCATTTGTACTAAACAGCACTATTTTGTTTCCCCCTCTGAACAAGTTTGGGAAACCCCTCGAGCAAAATTTTGCTGAAACCCTTTATACACAGTGGTCCCAACTTGTCCAGAAAGTCCCAACTGGATTACACTGATGTGATCAACTCAGTCCTTATGGGCGTCACTGCCAGCAGAGATATTGCACCCTCCCCTGCCCTGGGAGGACCGATAGCCAAAACAGCTCTGAGGGAGATGCCAATTACCAATTAAACTCCCTTTTATCTTCCTGAGAAGTCAGAAGCTGGAGGCCTTGGCTGCTGCTTTGACTCCTGGTTTCCTCTGAGTTTTTCCACTGGGTGCTTGCAGCTTTTTTTAAGTTCCCATTTGCTCCAGAAGCAGAGTGTCAAATGCAGCACTGCCTGCAGCAGAGACATGCACTCGGCTATGGCAGAGGTGAGCCTGAAGGAGCCTGGCCCTGCCTGGCAGCAGACCCCAGGAGCACTCAGTGCTGTAATAAATAATGCAGGGCAAGTGTAGAGGAGGCATGAGACGTGGGAAATGTGATATCTCAGTTCTGAGGCCCAGGTGGACCAAGTTGGCAGTCTTGGATAGAAACAGAATAAGTGTGAGAAATCACTCATCCTTAATAAATACTAGTTTCATAGGCCTTGCTGGTTGTGAGAAGCATTCAGCTTCAGCAAGTCATTGAAAACAAAATGTGCATTTTTTCACTTCAGAGGATTTAGGATTTGATTAAGTATAGAAAGAGGGAGCTCAGCGAGTAAAAGGACTAGATTCTCACTTCAGGGAATTCAGGTCAAGCCCTCTGTGAAACGAGTTCACATCTCAGCTCGGCATCTCCAGCAGATACTAGCTCACATCACAAAACCACTGTAAAGGATTTGGCACAGTATGACCCGTCTTAGGATCCCCGCTTAGAAATGTGGGAAGGAAGGGATGAGGCTTGGCCTGCATTAGTGCAGGACTGTGTTGTTTCTCAGCTGCAGAGAGCAAGCCTGAGGACATCTGGATGGGAAGGCTTGGATCGTCTTTAACCTGGAATCATATCTGTAACGTGGAGACTGTTCAAGTTTTATTTTATACTTGAACTCAAATCCTTGCCCATCTCTCTGGAGATGGCAGCATTGAAGAGTATGAGGAGGACTGAAACACCCTGTGTGGGGTTGTCTCTCTGAGAGAAGATCTGCACACACAGGAAAACAGCTCAATATGTGTGAAGATGTAGCCACACTGACCTGCTGTGGACTGCGTCCAACTAACTTCCAGCCAGCTGTGTCAGGTCCTCCTGCTGCAGCGTGGCAGAGAGACTACTCTGCAGCTCCCAGCTGAGCTCCCCAGGGTTCAGAAAACCTCACACACCACACTGAAGCTACAGCTACATGCAGCACCTGGAAAAGCAAAGGAATAACAAAGGCAAATCAACAAAACCTGTGAAGGGAGCCTACCTACATGAAAATTTGTAAGTTATGTAAATCTTTAGTTCTCAGGGGAGAATTGAAGCACAGCAAAAAAGGCCACCGTATCAGAGAATGAGAATGCTCTCCTGACTTCCCTCTCCATCTCTATGTATTCCAGGTGTATTCGTGGGGGACCTGGGCAAAACTAGTTTTTCCTTCTCTCTCAAAGGCCATTTAACCTGCCTCTCCTCCCAGTCTCTTCAGGGTGTAGCAGGCTAGTGGCAGCTGCATCCTAGCTTTACCTGGGAGCAACTGGAATTACCATGAGAACAGAATTGCTCACGGTGCGTGGCCAAATTCACTCTTGGGCAAGATGTGATTTGTTATGATCAAAAATGTCAACAACAGGATCTGAAGGTGCTAATTAGTCTCCTTGGCATCCTCCCCACACCTGGTATTTTAGGGCTATTCGACAATGCAAACTTACACAAAATTATCAACTTTGGGTTAAATTCATCCCTTTTATTGTATTTCTAACTTGAAATAGTGTAATTCTCTGTTCAAAAGCTCATTTATGTAAAACTCTAAACTTTATTAGTTAAACTAAACTGATTAATCTTATTACCACTAGGGATAATTTTAAAGAGGCACATTCCAAACCATTGAAAAAGAAGATATAACACTTAAATACCATTCTAAAGTAAAGCAAAGCAAACTGTAGCTTTAAGAAAGCAGAACTCCATATTCTCTCTCTTTTGAAAACTACCCGTATTTGGTATACTAATACAATTGAAGAAAAATATTCCAGCACTAAATTCCTTTCAATGCATTAAAGACAATGTTCTTTACTATGGGCCTGACTCAGAAAGATACTATAAGAATATCCCTACATTTAACTACAAGAACAGTGTCAATCAGTGTATGTTCATGTGAATAAACACATTAATAAATAAGCTCTTTTACAGTTCTTCTTTGAAAAAAACATATTTACCATTCTGTTACAAAAGCAGATAGAACTTCTAGTAGCAAATTATTGTCATTGAAATTCATTTTCTATTTTCTGTAGAGCTGCAGAATGATTTGTTAGCTTGACAGGATATTTTCCCCTTGCAACTTTCTTGTTTAATCCTATCCATTATTCTAAGGCCTGGCTTTAAATAGAACTCATTCACCCCTATAGATGCATCTGTGATTGGATTTTAAAGTTGTGCTACCATGACTGTACAGATGAACTAAGGATGCATTTGTACACATGGCCAGTTTGACACATTTGGCAATTTTACAGTTGGCCATTTTCACAGTGCCATGAGGAATACAAGAAAACCAGACATGCAATTGCTATGGACTAACCATCTCA